GTGTGTGTGTGCGCGCGCGTGTATGTGTGTGTTAAACTATTTTTAGACATGTTTTATTATAATTTAGAAAAATTTAGGTGACGTCACATTCCTTAAGGATAATATAGAATAACTTAAACAATCTTACATATGTTATATAACATTTTAGGTGTTTTTAATATTTTAAACATAAATGTTTAATGTTCTTTAAAACAAGATAAGAAAAGTATAAAAATATTAGTGAATATTATTTAGCTAATAATGTATAATCGATATTAACATGATAAATCTAACAAATCATTTGTCGAATTACCACGTAAATTATCATATTATAAATAGATCCATTTTAGGGTTCCATTTAAATTCAGCGACATAGTTCATTATGATCTCACGGTCCCATTTAAGAGTCAGGGTAAGTCTTTTGGTATAAAAAAAGTATAAAAATATTAGTAAATATTATTTAGCTAATCAAATATAATCGATATTAAAATGATAAACTAACAGCTTATTTGTCGAGCTGTCAAGTAAATTATCATATTATAAATAGATTTGTCTCCATTTAGGTCGGCATCAGTTTCGAGTTCTATTTAAGAGTCAAGTCAATTATCGTGTGTTGGCACATTTTTAAAGAAATTTATTTTCAGTCATGACCAATTATATGTTATTTGGCGTGTAAGTAATAGATAAAGAAGAGTTATGAACATTTCGTGCGTTAACATGTTCTTAAAGAAATCAGTTTTTAGTCACAACTAATTATATGTTGTGGTTTTGAGTGTAAGTAATAGAGACGGGCGAAACATATTACTTTGTGGAGACGACGTGTTGACCATCTATGAAAAAATAATATTGTGTACAATGAGATTTTTAATAATATATTATTTTTCGCGATAAACATTTTATTATTTGACAATATCACTAAGAATTATTTTTAATTTTTATTTATTAATATATTTTAATTTATAATATTTTTCAAAATAAATACAGTTCGTACATCACACCAGTTCATACTAGTTTGTTCAATAATGCAAAATTTTAAATCCACAATTAAAAATGCAATATAAAACTGGAAAGCCTAATTATTGGGTGGGTAAAGCACTTTATAGCAATTAAAGCACTTTTTGACGGGATCCCATTTACCTACGTTCGATCCTTAATTCAAGATAACTAATACAAAAAAAAATTATTACAATACAATACTAATACAATACCCGTGTATTACACGGGTGCTTGTTAAAAATTATTATTAAATTTTAAAATTAATAAAAAAACTATATTAAATTTAGTTTCTTTTTTATAAAAAAAATATATTACTATACATTTCAGAATGACATGTGTTACTTATGACTTACATGTGTTATATTATATTAGTTTTTATAATTTATATCATACAACTACTTGAAATATAAATATATTAGTTGATAAATAATTTTATTTTTCTAATTAATATTAAAAATAATTTATTATTGTTATAAAGATAAATATATATTATTTTTTTATACATACAATGTGGATGTTAAATCGAAACTCATCAAAAGAAGATTAATTTGATATATTACATATGTAAAACTGATAAAAAATACTAAAGTTATTAACTTTTAAAACCTATATACAATTCAATAATTATAATAAAGAATGATATTAAAATGCAATTAATACATGTAACATGACCATAAATATTATTTTTTGTTTGGAATTAAATTAAAATTTACTCAAGCCTAATAACAAAGCATGTAATTTTGCCACATAGTATCCGAAATACCAAAAGCAGCCACGTAAGCTCAACGCGTTTTGAATTAATATATAGAGAGATAATACGGGGTCCAAGATGTCGAGAGCCGGCGACCGCCGGCTAAGCTCGATTGTGGCTGAGAAAGGCAATCGGGCACAAATCTGAAGACAATGCGGCTGAGGTTGGGAAATAACGAGGGTTTCGCGAGAGAGATGTGGAATCACCATTCGAAATTTATATATACAACTTAAGACAAGTTCTTATAATTATTATTTTATCTATTGATAAACATGTATTTATATAGTTCAATTTGAGTAATCTTGCAATAATTCTTATAGTTGTAATAAAAAATATTTTTCTTATGCTTTTAAAGAAAGATTAGTTGCACGAACATATATAATGCTGAAAAGAAAAAAATAAGTGAAAAGATAAAAAATTATATAATTTTTTTTTTTTCTAGTAACAAGAAGTGTTTAGAAAAAATTGTCGATATTATATTTAACTAAATGTGAAATTTTTATACATATATGTATAGGGAAATGTTAAGGTCCTGTTGTGAAATTATTACGTCAGAGTTTGTAAACAGTTAGATCACCATGTAACCGTCAGAGATAGTTGATCTAACAGTTAAAAACCCGATAGAATAGTTCCATAATAGGACCGTAGCATCTTATATATACATATAGTCAATAGATGGTGAGGCGTCATTTATTCAAGAATAATTTAAATAAATTCAGTAACGATCGACGTAATGAAACTTCATCCTGTTTTTTTTTAGTAACGCAATAAGTTCAGAAATTTTGATCCCCTGTCCACGGTGGGCAGTGCCCACCATTTTGTTTTATATGAAAAACGTATTCTGAGAATACGTTTTTCAATTAATTAATTGAAAAACGTATTCTCAGAATACGTTTTTCATATAAAACAAAGTGGTGGGCACTGCCCACCGTGGACAGGTGAGCGGGACTAATAAGTTCAGTGCACCAAATTAATTAATATGAAGAT